AAAGAGTCTGAATTGTATATTACTACCCCATATGATCATTTTCTCCAAATATCAGATTTTTCCTGCAACTACAACTTAATTTGAGCCTGAGAGGATTAAAAGCATTGATCCAACAGTCAGACTGGTTTCAAAGCACAACTTCAGTTTTATCCTTGTTGGAATCAAAGATTTTGCACCTTTTTAAACTTGATCTTGGACTTTTTTTATTGCTGTAACTACGATAGGAGTTCCACACTGCAAAAACAATCCAAAAATAAGGAAAAATAACCTAAATTTAATTTATTTAACCTTAATTTTAGCAGGTAATGAGATTATTTGCCAATGGAATTAGTTTTTCTACTCTTAAAATAAGAGAATTAGATAATTATTGATAAGTCTTAGTTAAATATAATAACCTCGGGTGAAATGATGTCAGGGCAAATATACACAAAAAAGGTTATATTTACAAGCAGATCGAGCAAAAACAAAGCTTAGAAGACAAAAAATAAACTCCTACACATGCAGGACGCCATATTTTGTCATAAAAACATGGTGGAACCAGAGTGTTAATGTCAAATAACGTGACTATGTACCTTTAACAAGTGAGAACAACTTTTATAAGACCTAAAGGGAACCTTAAAGTGTAATGAAGGAATCAGTTAGCTCTACACAAACTGTTACCAAGTAAAACCACATTCATGTTAAACTTACGACTTATTAAAAGTGGAATCACTGCTACATCACAGCTAATCCTCTATTATTATTATAGTATTAAGGTGCGGTTTAGTTTCATCAAAGCTCTTCTATAAAATCAGCAGCAGCAATCAGTTTAATAAAGAAACTAACTTCAAAGAATAACTCAGCATTGTGATTGTAAATCTTAACATTATCAATAAAGATTCGGACTGATGTTTATCGTTATTAATGGTCCTCTGTGTCCAACATGCAATTCAACATAAATCCAGAGATATGCAGCCAAAGCAGCCGTGTTATTTTCAAACATGTCAGAAAACTTAAAAATTATAGCTAAGAGTTAATGCTAACATGCTAAGCTAAAGGCAATAGAGGTTAGTCGAATACCCATCGGAAAAATATATATATATTTCTTTTATTTTAGAGCAATGACCGTTTTTTCGTTTACAAATTGGACTTTTTTGAACTACTGTGACGCCTGTCAACACTTCAGGGTCTCCATTTTGAAAAAGAAGAAGCAAACTGGCGTTAAAGCTCTAATGATGAGTACTTCCTCTAGTTTGGGGCCAATATTTGGATGGTTTTTGTAAAATGGGGTTCTAATGTGAGGCTATAAGCAATCAATAACCAACCTGTCACACTGTTTACCAATACAGATGAGTAGAAGTTCAAGGTTAAAATGCTCTGAGTAAAGTGGAATCCCAAAACTCTGCGATGGAAACTGTCTTAGGATGGAAAGTTTGCTTTAAAATAATCTACAAATAGCTAGTTATTGGTTCAAAGAAAAAAATAAAATAAAATAAAGAAGCAAAACCAGGAAAAAAGAAAAATTAAGATACGAAGAGAGTTATCAATTGTAGGCATGATATAAATTCATTACTTAAAAAAATAATAATCCAAAAGTTATAAACTAAGCATTTTAATCTATTATATAGAACATTAAAAGAATTTTAAATTTTTATTATAATATTGCCAAACAGAAAAAAAATATTTAGTAGCTGGAAAGAACAGAGCGTTTGTCTAAAACATTTGTCGGACATTTTAAAACACTTTTTTTGTGGTTAAGTTAGGTTGACATTAAAGGTGTTTACAATTTGCCGCTATTTGGGAAAAAAAAGAAAAATATCAAAGCCCATTAAAGTTACAGCACATAATGTCAGCAAACAATCAAATTATATCAAAGTGTGAGTATAGCTAGCCGGTGGCTGTTAGCTAGCTGTTGGATCTTGTCACCAGTTGATCTGTCCTGCAGGCACAAAGCGAGCTGCATATTTTAGTTGTGTTTTGGTTTCATTGTTGAACGTTGTGGTACTTTATACACTTTAAGCACCGAGGCTGAGATACTAAAACCATCGAAAAAAGTGTTGCAATCTTATTTTACCAGACTTCTCTGGGCATTTTGTTGATGACTTCATTGAGTAATATAACAGAAAGGATGTTAAAGAATCTTTGCTCCCAGCAAAATAGCTTCTACCATTTTACTCTATGTAGTTAAGTTAAGTACACTTTGATAACTAAAGATAGAAATAATTTCGGTAGTGTTTTCTAAAGTGCATTCAATGCCAGTAGGGATGTATTTCTAGTTGCAAATGAGGTGATGGCACAGATTGTGCAAAAATGATGGGAAAATATGACAAAAATTTACTTTCTGGGCGATATTAGATATAGCTATTTATT